AGCTCAAATCTTTTATTTTTTAATAAGTAAATTCTTTTTTATAAAGCTTGGATCTTTAAATCATAAGATTTAAATTAAAAAAACGAGAACAAACACAAAAGCTCAAAAAATTAATTTACTTTCTCAACACGATAATGCCCAAAAAAAATACTTTTTAACTCCAACTTTAAATATATAGTAGAGAAAAGGTTTGATACAAATATATAATTATGCTAGCAGAGTACTCTCTTTTAACACACGAACTAATACCTAGTCTTCTTTAACACCCGAACTAATACCTAGTTAAAAAATTAAAACACGCACACACTCAGAGTACATCCACATACATAATTAGAACTTAAATCCTGGATATGCTACTATACATAAAGCAAAAAAATATATACAGTGATATTTATAAAAAAGGAATATTTTTTAGAACCTGGAGGAACTGTCGGGCAGTATCGGCATTTTGACCAATGACGACTTCAAGGAAAGACGAAACTAACATCTGCTGGTCCGTCGCAGAAATTACGTCGTCCATTGCTTCTCTCCTCTAAGTTTTCCGGCTGTTACTTNTCTCTTTTAACACCCGAACTAATACCTAGTTAAAAAAGTTAAAACACGCACACACTCAGAGTACATCCACACACATATTTAGAACTTAAATGCTGGATATGCTACTATACATAAAGCAAAAAAACATACATAGTGATATTTAAAAAAAAAAGAATATTTTTTAGAATCTGGAGGAACTGTCGGGGAAGTATCGGCAGTTTGACCAACGGCGACTTCAAGGAAAGACGAAACTAACATCTGCTGGTCCGTCGCAGAAATTACGTCGTCCATTGCTTCTCTCCTCTAAGTTTTCCGGCTGTTACTTTTTTGAGAAAGAAAAAGTTGAAACACTAATACTGATGAATTTTACTCTCTGTAGATTTGTTTCCACACCGCACCGATTGATATGATTTATATAAGTGTGGTTCGTTCCTTCTCCGGCTCAGAATAGGAATTATTATTATCATGTTTAATTTACATATACATCCACTGAGTTTTGTTCTAATTACAGAATAGGAAATCAAGATGATTTGAGGGCAAAGCTACTACTGCACATTGGATGAAATACAGATTCCTGCGTCTGCTAGCCTTTTGGTGCAAATTTCATATGGGTATCAAATTCGCAACATGATAGATTTCATTAGCTCGCGACAAGAATAGAATCTTCTGTTTAAAGGTTATCCCCTTCTCTTGTTTCATCACAGGGGAATGCACACTTTTGTACCGGCTAATCACCATCTTGGTGTCTGATTTTATTCTATTAATAACATCTCTTATTTACTGATAAAGAAACAAAGGGAAGGGCTCAATTAATATAACAGCAAACAAAAGTACGAAGTCTAATGTACAAGTCTCATCCATCTATTTCATGTACTAAAAGTTGAACATGCTTTGCCAAACAAAAAGAAACCCCAAAATTCATTTAACTTCCATAGGAGACATTATCTCATATTCTAGTAACAATATAGAATGTAAAATTGGACATACATCGTGATTCGTGACATAAAGTCTAGGCCCCAAAAGGGCTAAATTTTCTATTTTTCATAACGGTTATGTCCGGACCAGGTTCGCACCTCAACTACTCCACATGTATCCTTCCACTAATACATGCCCCAAAGTCTTAGGTGGCTGGAAAGTAATCAAGCCATCCCTTCGGTGCAAAGCTCAAATCTTTTATTTTTTATTAAGTAAATTCTTTTTTATAAAGCTTCGATCTTTAAATCAGAAGATTTAAATAAAAAAAAAGAGAACAAACACAAAAGCTCAAAAAATTAATTTAATTTCTCAACACAATAATGCCCCAAAAAAATACTCTTTAACTCCAACTTTAAATATTTAGTAGAGAAAAGGTTTGATACAAATATATAATTATGCTAGCACAGTACTCTCTTTTAACACCCGAACTAATACCTAGTTCAAAAAGTTAAAACACGCACACACTCAGAGTACATCCACACACATATTTAGAACATAAATGCTGGATATGCTACTATACATAAAGCAAAAAAACATACATAGTGATATTTAAAAAAAGGAATATTTTTTAGAATCTGGAGGAACTGTCGGGGAGTATAGGCAGTTTGACCAACGGCGATATCAAGAAAAGACGAAACTAACATCTGCTGATACAATTGCTATTCTTAAGAAAGAGTCTAAAGAAAACCAATAAAAACACCTTCATTTGATATGTGGATCCACCTTTTTTATTTACACATGAAGCTACACAAGAGTACCTTTTTCTGAAGCATATAAATCCTTATACATTCATAAATTTCAGATCTCTAAAAGTACCTTATTCTTTAACTAAGTAGCGGAATTGCAGGTCTTTCCTCTGCAAAGTTGCACAGTTTTCCAGAAGCTGCCNATAAAAACACCTTCAGTTGATATGTGGATCCACCTTTTTTATTTACACATGAAGCTACACAAGAGTACCTTTTTCTGAAGCATATAAATCCTTATACATTCATAAATTTCAGATCTCTAAAAGTACCTGATTCTTTAAATAAGTAGCGGAATTGCAGGTCTTTCCTCTGCAAAGTTGCACAGTTTTCCAGAAGCTGCCAATAATAGCAATGGGACGGAAAGGAAGAGTACCAGCCAGGATCCCAGTGGTAATATTTTCATGATCATGCACATGTAGGAGACATAATACATAAATACTGCCATCTGAGTCCACGGTTTCAATGGTAAACTGCGCAGAATGGACATAACAATAGCCAATGATGCTACAAAACCTGTTGAGTTAAATAATATGAATGAAGAAACGATGGGGGAATCTCTTATATATTGGACTATTCGACCTGTATCACCGTCATAGATGTGATTAGCCTTGGCAATGAAGTAAGGCAAGTGAGAAACTGCTGTATGCATTACAGTAGCTAATAGAGTAGCCACAAGTGATAGAACACATTCGTCCTTTACATTGAGGGCAGCATTGGTATTTAATCGTGATCTCCCCTTCTTTTCTAGGTCTTTGAACTTGCCAACTCCAGCCAGCTTAGGGATCTTCTCTTCTCTCGTGTTGCTATAACTAAAAGGAGGTAGATGATGCAAGCATTTAAAAGTGTTAGCTATGTACGATCTGAAAGCGCCGACACCCGAAAACATGGTGACTTCTGGCTCACCAACACGTGCCAGAAAATTCTGTATTGATACAAATGTGTAAAATATGAGTAGCTTTCTAAGGTAACTAAATCAAGAAAATTCCTCGCAAGAGTAATAAGAGTGAGAAGAACCACCACAGAAACAAAAAAAAAATTATTTATGAAGCAGGAAACTGAGCAACAAGATGGACAGAAAGGAAATCAAGATGATTTGAGGGCAAAGCTACTACTGCACATTGGATGAAATACAGATTCCTGCGTCTGCTAGCCTTTTGGTGCAAATTTCATATGGGTATCAAATTCGCAACATGATAGATTTCATTAGCTCGCGACAAGAATAGAATCTTCTGTTTAAAGGTTATCCCCTTCTCTTGTTTCATCACAGGGGAATGCACACTTTTGTACTGGCTAATCACCATCTTGGTGTCTGGTTTTATTCTATTAATAACATCTCTTATTTACTGATAAAGAAACAAAGGGAAGGGCTCAATTAATATAACAGCAAACAAAAGTACAAAGTCTAATGTACAAGTCTCATCCATCTATTTCCTGTGCTAAAAGTTGAACATGCTTTGCCAAACAAAAAGAAACCCCAAAATTCATTTAGCTTCCACAGGATTGACATCATCTCATATTCTAGTAACAAGATAGAATGTAAAATTGGACATACATTGTGATTCATGACATAAAATTTGTACGCACCTCAACTACTCCACATGCATCCTTCCACTAGTACATGCCCCAAAGTCTTAGGTGGCTGGGAAGTAATCAAGCCATCCCTTCGGTGCAAAGCTCAAATCTTTTATTTTTTAATAAGTAAATTCTTTTTTATAAAGCTTGGATCTTTAAATCAGAAGATTTAAATTAAAAAAAACGAGAACAAACACAAAAGCTCAAAAAATTAATTTAATTTCTCAACACGATAATGCCCCAAATAAACACTCTGTAACTCCAACTTTAAATACATAGTAGAGAAAAGGTTTGATACAAATATATAATTATGCTAGCA